TATCATCATGAGTATTGGCATCCATTATTGTTATAGTATACAAGCATATTCAACTACTTCAGCCTCACATCAGCTACTTCTTAGGGCTTATGTGTCCTCACACTAGACTTGTTTTGTCTTATGTACTGGGGGGAGCTATTAAGGCAAGCTCCACCTGATTTATCTTTTGTAAGTTGTCAGTTCCATTGACTAGACTTAAATTTACTTTTTTCTGGTAATTTTTAAAGTAGAGTCAAATTACTTAATGCTGAAAAATTAGGCTTGCATAGTTGTTGATCTAATAAAAGCACTATTGACAAAATAGAAAAAGTTAAGCTTTCTCGGGACAAGATCACAAAAGCCTCTACATTTCTGTTATAGCCTGAAACTTTTTCAGTCTTCACATTTTCTGAAATTCAACCTTATTTGGTAAATAGACAAGTAAAAGAAAACTGTGGTCCTTCACATTTTTAATGGATATTTTGAGACATGTAGACTATAACCTCGAAAAGTCTTTTATGCAAATTGGTCATCATGGGTAACAACACTCAAAGTATTCAAAGTAACATAAGTCTAAGGTATAAATTCATGTTTTATTTGTTAGGAGTCTTAGAACTTATTTGATTCTTTTTCTGTTGTGCATGAAGGTAACAAAAACCAGTGAGTGGTAGTTTTCTTATTATAAAACAATCTTTACAAGAGAAAATTTATTCTAATATTATCTAAGTTTTGAAAAACTGATTTTTTTTTTTTTAAACAAAATTTTTTTTTTTTTTTTTTTTTTTTTTTTTTTTTTTTTTTTTTTTTTTTTTTTTTTTTTTTTTTTTTTTTTTAGTAGAGATGAGATTTTGCCACATGGCCAGGCTGGTCTCGAACTTCTGACCTCAGATGATCCACCCACCTTGGTTTCCCAAAGTGCTGGGATTACAGATGTGAGCCACCGTGCCTGGCCATTTTTTTCTTTTCTTTCTTTTTTTTTTTTTTGAGATGGGGTCTTGCTCTGTCTCCCAGGCTGGAGTGCAGTGGCACTGTCATGGCTCACTCTAGCCTTGACCTCCCAGGCTCAGGCTATCTTCCTGCCTCAGCTTCCTGAGTAGCTGGGACCACAGTTGCATGCCACCAAGCCTGGCTAATTATTATTATTATTAATTATTTGTAGAGATGAAGTCTTGCTATGTTGCCCAGGCTGGTTTTTAACTCTTGGACTCAAATGATTCTCCCTCCCTGGCCTACCAAAATGCTGAGATTATAATCATTAGCCACTGCACCCAGATGATTTTTAAAATCTCTATAAATGTCTGTTTATGCAGAACAAGATGTAAGAATACATAGTTATTTGGTGTGTGCAGTAGGGTTTCATGAGAAGGGAAGGGAAATAAAAGAAAGGAAGCTGTTGTTCAGTAGTTTACACTTTTGATTCTTATTGTTTTCCTCTCTAGTAACATCCCAGGGATGTTACACATGGTGAAGTCATATTTTTTAAAAAAAGTATTTCTAATCAAAATGTTTCTTTCCCTAATGAGATTCTGGTTTGGGTGCTTTATTGTCAGTGTGCTGGGAATTTTGGAATGTTCTCTGTGTATTTCTATGATTTTGACCTAATAATCTCATTTGGATTTACCAGGCTCAGCAGCTGTTGTTTTTATCGACTATTGCTAAGTCGTATTAATGTCCAAAGTTGAAAAATCCTTTTCCTGTGCTGGCCTAGATTATTCAGAGTTTTATAAAATTTAAGTCTTTTCTCCAATGCCTGTGATTTTTATTTGCTTTTAAGAAACCTTATAATATTAATATCCCAGTGGGTTCTTGAGATGGGCTAAGCCTATTTGCAGATCTCTCACAGGATGCTAGTGATGTTTGCAGGATGGTTTGTAGAACAGTGCTTTCCTGATAGATCCATCTATCCTCTTTTCTACTGGAGCAAGAAAAAAGCCTCAATTCCATTGACTTTAAGTACTGTTTGGTGTAACATGATAGATCGTTGCAATTTGATATTAATGATTTTCCTTTGGCAAAGCAGAATGCAAAGTTGAGAAGTCAAAGACATTGAGAATGCCCTAGGAGAGCATAAACTCAAAATTATGACCATTTTATTGGATACAATTGAAAAGTTTTATTTGAAGAGGAAATCAGATGTTGAATTTTGCCTTTTGATTTGATTTTTAATGTAATAGGAAGTTTTCTTACATAGTTGAAAACATATTGCTTTCTTTGTAATTTCTAATTTGTTTGTTTTAATTACAAGGCAGTGGTTTTTGAGGCCTAAGAAAGATACTAGTATGCTGTTACATTCCTCCCAGGGTGAGTTTTCTTGATTCTTAATCCCATCTGATCTCTGTACTGTCACATTCCCTTTTTTTCTGTTGGGAGTTTAAAATTATTCTCCTTATACATTTAGGATTCAAACCAATAGCTTTTCTTGTTGTCTAGGGATATGGTTAATGATTTCCGCATTTACAGGTAAAGATGAGCATCAACAGTGTACTTTATCAATTATAAAATCATCTTTATATAATAATCATATTTGATTCTGACAATTTAGAGAGGGAACGAGGAAGAATGACTGCAATTAATTCCTGTCCCTCAGAGAAGTCTCACAGTATACCCCAAACAGCATGTAAACAGAAGAGCAGGACAAGAACCAGGCCTTTTAGCTCTGTGTCCAGTCTTCTTCCCACCCTCTCATACTGTGTCTGCATACCCTGTCCAAGACATTTACCAAGGCATTTACCAAGACATTTCCCACGTACAGAATTGGGTTAATATGCTGAATAAAATTGTTGTGTCAAATTTTAATAAACTCTATAAAACCAAGTGTGTATCCTTTGGTTCTTTCCCTGTTAAATGTGAATTCTTGCACTATATGTACGGTGAGAGAGCTTTCCTGCTTTCAAGGCCAGTGACAGTGAGTGTCCAACTTTAAGGTAAGAACAAGAGGACAACAATAAGACAGATGTCCCAAGGAGGCGTATGACTCACAAGTTCAGTGGAAACATCGTAGGAGGTGAGGCTTACAGGACGTGATAAGATTTGGAAAGCTGAAGAAGGGGGTGGACGGGAAATGTTTGAGCAGAGGTGTGTAGGAAAGAATGTATGCAGTACTGAAATCATTGCAGATGAAATGATACATCCAGGATTTGCTTCAAAACACCTGGCATGGGTATGATATGAATTGATCATTGTTGGGACTGGGTAAATGGTATATGGGGGACCCTTATGATATTATTCATGCTTCTATATACATTAGAAAATTTCCATAGTAATAATTTTTTTTAAATAAAAATGGTATGTGTTTTTTGGACAATAGGTTAGGCTGGCCTGTCAGAATAGAGAGCATGTTCAAAGGCATAGTAGGAAAGGTTGGAAAAGCAGCCTGGCACCCAATTCGATGGTGAGAGAGGATTTGTGAATGTATGCTGTGGAGTCTCGGTGAGTGCTAATAGACACTGGTTCATTGGTTGGACTTGAGTTCTACTTGACTGTGAGCCCAAAGTGGAGTTGCAGTCCAGTGTTGGCATCTTATCAAGGATGGCAGTAACTCCACTTTACCATCTGCTTCAGGACTGTCACATCTAATGTGCCATATTCAGTTCTGGAAGGCACATTTAAAGAGGACTTTTTGCGAACCAAGTTTCAATGGTGGGACATGTCAAGCCCAGAAGAGTAACTCACATCTTCCTAGCAATCTTCTTTCTGTCAGAACACTCCATCAGCTCATGGTTGTCTACCTGGAATAGACATATTTTCCCTTCTTCCAAGTCTCTCTACTACTCCCTTTCAAACTCTTTTTCTTTTGAGAGCCAAAGAATAGGCAATAAAAAGCAAATTAATCACATCACTATGATTCGTGAGTGACATGAAGGTACATAATCACAGTGGCATCTGACTCAACCTCCTGGCAACAGACTAACAGCTGGATGAGCTATACCCAGAAAGGAGCCCTTAGTGTAGCTTTCTGAAGCAAAGTTCCTCCTCCTCCCTGCTGAAGCTGTTTCTCTATAGCTAAGTAGAAAAGACAAGAGATGTATCAGAGAAATTTGGGTAATTGGTAATATTAAGGAATTGTTAATTATTTGTATATGATTTAGTAATGATTCTAGAGCTGACACACATAAGCTTGTGAAAGCTGTTGTGTTATAGGAATTTTGCAAGCTAGTCAAACATAGTCATTAAAAACTAAATTGTACAAACTTAAAGTATTAAAAGTAAAATAAATACTCAAAACTCTCACTCCCTAATAATTTTAATATAATTTGTTGTTATCTGTGCTGTTAAGGTTATTGATGTCTAAGGTGTCTGCAGAGTAGAAGTACTCTATAATGACGTATGACACATCTCTTCTCAACTCCACATTCAGTGACGTCATGTTGGTACTTTGAAGTTGGCCATGGTGGGAATCATGGAAAATGGCAAAGATCCAGGGTCATTTTTTTTTCCTTTTTCTCAGCAAACTGGTTGCTAAATATTTACCAGCACACCACTGGGTATTATGATGATATTGTGGTTATGTGTTAAAGACTCTTTCTGTTTTAGGGATCCAGACTGAAATAAGACAGAATATATCTAGAATCTGTTTCAAAATAATCCAATGAGGGTGGGTATTGTGATGTTGAATCAGAGTGGTGGGTAGATGGGTGTCATCGTACCGCTCTCTCAACTTTTGTGTATGTTTAAAATTTTCCATAATAAAATGTTAAAACAGCAATTGTGGAATGTTACAATGAAAATAAATTGCCTGTACCTAGTAGACATAGATAGCAATCCAGTCTGGCACCTGTCTGTCCTTCAAACTTTGATGCCAACATCCCTTGGATAAAATCATATTCTCAAATTTTTGAGCACTTATTTTGTAAATGGTTCACATAGGTCATTGATTCTAAAGATCTGTTTCTCATTAAATAAAATCAAGAAACCACTATGTGCAGTTTATCATGCCCATCAGGGCAAAGGAATCCACTAGAGCCTTCCCAAGGATAGCAGAAAGCTCTCTTCACAGCGGGCGGGCGGGGAGGCGGAGGGGGGCATTCATTTGTTGGATTGCAATCCTGTTTGCAAAACCAGTTGTACGAATAGGGAAAAATGAATCAAGTAATTGCTCAGAAGGCTACTTGCGGCTACATGACAGCTGTGTACCCTTTAGATTTATTTTCAGTCTAGCTGATTTGAGTCATTGCCCAAAAAAGGAGTGTTGTCAAGTGAATTGTCTTTTATGCAGATGATGACAGCCTTTCTAAATATTGCCTTGCTGATATAAGGGATGTGTTTGGAATTATTGGCCTATGAATTAAACTAGTCCTAATCCAAACGATTTAAAAAGTTCTCGCTTAGGTTATATATTGATTACATTTCACAAAAAGCACAAAAGAACTATATTTTTTCTAGCATATATTTAGACATCAAATGGACAAGTTTTAGCATGAATTACTCAGAATACATCATTTTTTTCTAAGTTTGAAGTTTTAATTTCATTCTTAATATCAATTTGGAGTATGGTAATAGTTTCTCCTTGGATTTGATTATGCAATAATACATACAAACTAAATCCAGTTTACCAGGAAAAAAATGTATGTTGAGTAATGAATGCAAGTGGTCATTATGATTATCCCATCAAACAGGGTAGTGAGGAAATTATTAGGTTTTATAATGGGGACAGAGAAGGACAATCAGAACCTTGAGGGGGAAAGTAGTCTATTCTGTCTTGTAATATTAAGTTAATGTGAGTTTCCGGTCCGTGTAGAAATACAGGCTTAGACCATTCTCTTAAGTTAATGACAAAAAAATTCAAAGCCTCGAGCAATGAAAACAACAGATGCAAACTCAGGTTTGTTTTGACCCCTCAGTTTTGTTTCACCCTGGGCTGAAACAGATGCTGCAAATAGGAATTAAGATCAGGGAAGCCAGAAATCAGAAGAGTGTGGGTAGGAGAAAAATCATTATAACTTCTCCTCATAAGACAGAGCTGGACAGAAAAATCACCTGGAGAAACTGGGAGCCTTTGTTGACACTTTGCTGCAGTTTTTCCCATGTTAATTCCTTTGTACCAATACCCTTCAGGGCCCTGCAGGGTCCCTCCACAGCATACATTCTGAGAGTTTGTTTGAGGCATATAAATATAATAGAAGTCATAGTTTGAAATTAAGTTGGAGCATGAAGATTGGGGTGTGATTGCTAAGAAAAAAAGCACATATTAAGTTCCTGAAGTGAAATAATCACAGGCTTGTGATTATTCACTCAGAAACTATTTACTGAGCCCCTACTATCTGGGCTAGGCAATGGGATACCACAGTGAGCCCTGCAAATAGAAGCCCTGTGCTACCAGAGCTTACTGCTTACTGTGTGGAGAAATGCGATAAACGGCGTAAGTATATAGTACATTAAACGGAGACAGATTCTGTAGGAAAAATAAAACCAGAGCAATTCTTCAAAATTAAATTCCCAAAGGATAACATTTTCTAACTCTATCAAAGCTAGCAAAGAAAGGAGATTGATATTTATAAAACGTAACGCATACCACATCAGAAATTCTTTCATGTTTCCATTAACCCTGTTGATATGCTAAATATATTCACTATCTCTACAACCATTAGAGAACAAATTAAAGATGAAGTAGCTTGGGAAAGGGAGCAGCTTTTTAACACTGAAGTGAAATGAAAAATATGCCCTAATGTTGACAGTTCATGATCAGGAAGACAGTGAGCACCTGCAATAGGGAGGCTGGAAGTTATTTTTATAAAGAATGTCTTTAATTGCTTCCAGTTCTATTTATCTCCAGTTGGACAACCAAGTAGAAGTCATTTGAAGAGATGTTTTGTAGTTATATGGATGCAGGTTTGCATATGTGGGTGTTTTCGAACATATAAACTTCATATTTTAATGAATTCAGTCATCTTCATAAAAACCTAAATTTTCCCAATTTTAAATGGAAATATTCTGGAAGTAAGGTATTAAATGAGTTCTTTTATGTGGGAGATGGACTGAGACTGCATTGAGTTATTTATTTTAAGTAACTTTTAAAATTTTACCAAGTGCAGGTCTTTAAGTCCAACATTGGCCCGAGTCTTCGGCAAAAACAGCCTAACAAACTCATTGATATTTTTTCCTCTCCCTAGGGCTCCAGTTTTGTGTTTTCAGTTGCCTACTAGACCTCACTACCTGGATGGCCCACAGGTACTGCAAACTCAGCGTTTTAATTAACACACTCACTAGCCTCCTTCATCATTGACCCTGTGGCCAAAGCTAGGGTAAGTCACTTGTCGTTGAGTCCTGACTCTCCTTAACATCTAATCTGCTACCAAGTCCTTCTAATGGATACCTAAGGAGCCCTAGAGTCTATGCCCATAAGCTAGTTAGCAGAGCACCTGCTTGAAAGCACTTACAAGTAATAGTATTTTTGCTTCTATCTGCTCTGCTCTTCCCACTCAGTTACATCTTAGTTCAAGCCTCCTTTCCTGATGTTTATCATCTGGACAATTGATCTATCCTGGTCTCCTCCCTATGTGTATTTCTCCTTTTTAACGAGTTGTTCATGCTGCTACCAAAGTGGCAAATTCTAACTTTTTAAATTTAAGATTTGACACTGACTGGATTAGGTCTGGACCTAAATGGTCTTTTCATCTCACCTTCTTCAGCTTTCCCATTAGGTTCACTTGCGAGAACAGTACTCAGTCAAACCTTAGCTATGCCAAACCTTTAATAAAGTATAAAAGATTAATTATGTTAATTATTAGCCTTGCTTTGAAATAAAAGGGCACAATTCACCACCTAGCTTCTTGGTCTTCCACTGAATATTGGAATATTAACTAGCACTTTATAACAGAGCCTTTCACCAGGCCAACTTTACTGCTCTTCCCTTTTCCCATCTCTCTCATCAGCCAGAACCCACAGTTCTGCCTAAATTCCTGCATTCCTTCATCCACTGATACTACCATGGTCTTCACTCTGACTGCTTCAGCATTGAATGACTGCAGTAGGATCCCGCCTGGTTCCCTTACCTTCATTTCCCCTGGCCCCCGATCCTGCCCCATTGTATCTCTCATGCCTCACCAGATTAATTTTCCTAAAACATTGCTCGCATTCTGTTTTAGAATCTATAATTGTTCTCTTTTGTAAGTCAATTCAAGCCATACGCTCATATTCTGGAATCTCCAACCGTAAATGTCCTCACTGCCTCATTTATTTGTGAAGTCGTCTCCCTCTGGCCGTGAAGATCCTCTGCAGCCTTGCTGCTCTTCCTCAGACAACACCCTTCTTCTCTGTCCCTCCCCACCGCCCCACTGGAGATCTTTTTCCTGCCCCAGCCCGTGCATATCCCTAACAGCTCAGAGATACCTTATCTATATTGCCTTCTCCATTCCCTGAGCTATACCTGTTCACCTTATGGGAGGAAGCTTTGTACGGTTGGAAGAGCACCATGTTTGGTGTCAGTTATGGGATCAAGCTGTTGCTCACCAGTCATGTGTCTTCAGCAGCTAATTTTTTTCTCTCTGAGCTTATATCCTTATTCTAAAGTCAAGTGTATGATTTAAATGACTATGAAAAAAAATGCTCCAAAAACTTTTGAGCATTATATAGATATTCAGAGTTGTTCTACTCCACTATTTAATCCTTTATTTTTTTTCCTTTTCACCTTGTGTATAAATTTCCCATTTTCCTAACTTTGTGTTTTAAGGATAGATATAAAATGAAATATACTTTCTTATCTTATTCGGACCATACCACAGCAAATGCTCAATGAATTCTCCCTGTCAAGAGAATTCATTGAATATAAATATAAAGGATCAGGCTCTGTGGTGAAAGTACAGTATTTGATAAAGTGAGTGAGGGAGTAACAAGAAAAGAGGGTGCCCAAAGAAAAGGAGACTGATTAGGGGACTGGCCAGCCTCAATACTTTTTGGTGCATCCACAGACAAGCTCTGAATGAGACCCACTAGCCAGGTTCTTCAACCTCTTAACACCATGGCAATAGAATTGACTCAGTTTCTTAAGTGTCACACTGTTCTTAAAACATAGTAGGCTCTCAAGTGTTTCTAGAATTCACTAGCCACATGATTTGCGTATTATATATATTTATACACATGCATGTATGGTGCCAATAGATTTGTCTGTCACTGCTTATTTATTCATAGTTTTTTTTTCCTTTTAAATTTCATTCTTATACAGAGCAGCAGTATGTCTGCTTTGTCTGCAGAGTAGCACTAATGTTCAGATTTGCATTGTGTTTGTGCAGTGTCTAATAGGGGCTACCTGATCACTTGCTGAAGTCATAGGTAGTTCAGGAACTATCTTATTTAGATCACTACGAAGTTTTCATAAACATATTGTCCTGTGTATAATACTAAACTTTCTCAAATCCTGCTTAAAATTAAAAATAAGTATAAAGAATAATAATTAGTAAATGAGAATTTATCTTATTTTTGCATGGTGTCTTCTAGCCCCTTCTCCCACACCCGACCTCCTTGGAATAAGAGATATGGTAATGGAAACCAGAAATTGATGATCCTACTTAGTATCCATCTTAGCAGAAAAATGTAAACAGTAGTGAGTTTTGTTTGCTAACACTATCCTTGGACAATAAGAATAATTGTTAGGTACTTATAATAATTCTCACTATGTTTAGGTCACTGAGTCAGTCAAAAGCCGACTAATCAGTAAAATACATTTTCTGGTTTTAGAGAGCTTATAATTTACAGTAGATTAAAGGGAATGACAGTAACCCCAGCAAAATAATTAAGAGAAATGTGATTTACTTGTTACCTAAGAAGCAAAAGATACATTTTTCTCCAAAGTAAGTCATTAAAGATTGCAATTGTTTATACCAAAGTTGATTTACTAGCATGAAAATGATTGCTTAACCCTGCTCCCTGCATTCACTAGGCGGGCTGGGTGAGTGCTTGTGTTTCAGATGAGCCAGCCTGGCTACAGGAAAAGATATTTGCATAGAAGACTGGGGACATTGCCACACAACAAAATGAAGAATTATGCTTTCAAAATTCCTTTTATTACTGCCTTGATTAAATTGTTGTTTCCAAGGGAATGGATTTTCAGATGAAATTTTAATATGCTTCAGATAATTCCAATTGTGTTCTTTTGTTTTACTCGGCTTTCACAATATGATCATATTTGGTTTCACTTCCTGGTTAGTGCACACAAGCCTGTTGCTGGGAAATATTTGAATAAAGTGCTTATGAGAGAAGACTATTGTTTCAAAGTAGAGGAAGGCATTTTGGTTTGATTTAGACTTAGTTCATGTAGTAATTTTTATAGAAATAAAATTTCTGACATGTAAATTGGTTAAAAACACTCTTTAAAAATAATTTAAAGGACTTATTTGGCACTGAAATTAAGTTCCTTGTGGTGAAATCATCTCGTCTACAGAACTGTTTGATTAGGTACCAGTTGTGCAACAAATGAAATGTTTGTCCATAATTAGAGTAATTGTTACTTGATTTTAAACAGAGGTTTGATTGCATGGTGAGTGTCATAATGCCAAATGATTTTTCCATTGATTAAGGGCCCAGTGTATTCTTAAGTTGATCGTTTGCTCTCAGTGTGTTTAACCTGGCTAGAATATATCTGGTACCCTTTTGTGTATGTTGTAAATGACCGCTCTTCTGTGTTACTTCATACAAAATCTTTGCCTATTCTAAAAGTGGTATTTTTACCATTAAGTATTTAATTCCACCAGAGTACTCAGGTATTACCTAGTCTAAAAAAGTACAAATCAAATTTATTTCTCTTTTGAAAAAGTCAGTTAAGACTTTCAGGAAACGTGTGCTTCCTTAAAATCTAATTGCTTTGTCCATTTGCATCAATTTACTGGCTAAATCTGAAAGTTTAATTTTTTAAAGTGTAACTATTTTTCTACTCAGAATTTTAATTTTGAAGTCCATCTGTGTTTTATTTCTCAAGGTACCCAGATATATACCCTAATATAAAACTAGGCTTCCTGCTGTCAATCTTGAACTCTCTCCAATGAATTCCTTCTGATGCTTTCAAATTAATTTTCTTGATATATAATAGTATGTCCCTAAATGTATTTTTCTATCATTCCCTTGCTCAGATACCACCAGTGACTTCCTACTACTTATGTCAAGCCTAAGTTCCTCTCTGCTTATAAAAATATTTGAATATTCTAAAAGTAATATTTTTACCCCTAAAGCAATAATTTCTCAGGTGCCTGTTGCATTCTGCGCCTGAGTTATGTCTTGAAAATTTTTTAGTGTGGCATTTGAGACTGACTTAGCATTTGATCGTAATCACCTTTCCACTCTTATCCCCATCATTTCTGTCTCATAAATTCCACTCCATCTCTGTGTGTGCTAATTCATTAAATTGACCTTGACTTTCTTTTGCCTTCTTTATTGGTTGTTCCATTCCTCCACATAAAATATTATATGCCCTGTTACTAACCACCCCCTTTTACCCCTTATTCCTTCACCCCCTAACTATATAAATCTTTTGCGTCTTTCTTGGTCCAACTCACAAACCCTGTGCAGTGACTATTGTTCTTCTAGCATATATTACCTTAAGATGTAACTGTGTAATTCATTTGTTTGGTCTTGTACTTACGCCTTCTTTCACCAATGCATAAGCTCCTTTTGAGGTTTAGGTCTGAGTGTGACACCTTTCTATTGCCTTCATCACCTGGGCCAGTTCTTTGCACCCAGCAGAAGCCTCATCATGATTGTTGAGTACACCTAGTGTCAGAGCATGCGCAAGATGTAACATTTCCACTTTCTCTTGGTGCCCCATGACACAAGTTGGTGTCACACAAGACCCTCTTCATTTCTACCTTTCTTCAACTGACAGAGACTAAGTTGTTGCCTTCCTTAAATGGATAAGAGTCTCCACACAATAAAAACAGATGGTATTGTCAGATATAAATAGGTAAATATTATTTTTGTGTGTGTGGGTGAGAGAAAAAAGACAGGAAAAAACTACACTTGTAGCTTTCTTGGCACAATCTTTTTGCCTCTCAAATTTGTTTGCTAAGAAATAACCATAGATTCATCTGCTGTGTATAAAAGAGAAACATAGAGACTCTGTGTGTTTTGCAGCCGATTTTGTCACTGAGCTATGACAGAGCCTCACCCTGATTTAGAAGTCATGTGTCAGACTTCCAGATGGGGAGTCTATCTTTTGTCTCCTGGAAAACCATTGTTTCCAGAGGGCCCATGTTTCTCCCCTTTGCTGAGACCAAGTGAAGCTGCAGAATCCTGCTGAGTTATGAAGCCCGAAGCC